GCCCTTTTTAAGAAAAAGTTGACAAAGATCTCATTTCTATTGACCAGAACATTGTAAAAAAACACAATTTTACGATCCTATAGCTAAACAGGAAGTGCCGGTCACCGCAAAAAATCTCACCATCACGTAGAACTTCTTCAATTTACTTTTTACCTAAAATCCACAAACGTAACTACCCAGGTCGACCCATCGTCTCGGCCTGCAGTCGCTACATTGACGACTGCATCGGCGCTACCCCCAGAGAGGAGGTAAGTCTAATTCATAACCACAGTCAATTCCTTTCGTCCGGTTCTAAAATATATCTGGTAAATTTCCGAAAATTATTTGTATTTTTAGACATCAAACAGGGTGTGTGATTATGGTTAAGCATTTAACAAAAAAATTTGAAAGAAACAACGAAGACCTTGGACATCTGAAGGTTGAGGCAGGCACAGAGACGTGCGTGTTTCCTTACTCGGAACTGGTTAGATCAAATGACCACCACAAACCGTATAATATTAAGCCAAGCTTTAATAATTATTCGATCTAAAAGAAATACATTTATAATTCGCAATTAGAACAAACGCAAATCAAGTCTTTATCTTGTAACTAAATTCAAAAACTTCAATATAAACTTACTTCTGTGGCGGGTCGTTACAACAGTCTCACTTTACGGGTTAGCAGATTCTCCAGGTAAGCGGATTTAGAGACAGAAAAACGATAACAAAATAACTTCTTTCTCACTTCGATTCTGCTGAAAAACTGACTTAAACATAATAATCTAACGCTTTTAAATCAATCTATTGAATTAATGTCAATCACGATTCTTGTCATCGAATAAATCTGTCAACACGAGGCAACGCCTATTTATTAAACGAAACAGTGCGTGACTGATCTAGATTCGTTAAAAGTCTCGTTACGTCTTATGCATTATTTTATTGTTACAAGTCGTTGTCGAGTCGGCTTTCACAACTGAAAAACATGCGCTGCCCCCATGTATTAGCATCAAATAAAACTCTCCGTCATGTTTGAGAACCGAGTTCTCCTTGCTTGCTGTGTGATTTTTGTCGGTCTTCTTTTTGAAGGTAACGATGTCTTATAGGCTAAGCTCAAACAGTAGGAGTACCCATGCCGAAATTGAAATCAAGAAACTGGAAAATGTTTACATCGTGCATTTTGAGTCGACCTTAGGTCCCGATGTCGGCTTAAGCGAATATTATCTGCATAATGATGGAAAAGAGTGCTGGTAAATGAAGCGTTCACGACAACTTCGCCTTTATTTTCTTTAAGTCGAATCTGTTTTATATCTCTCTGCAGATATCAGACTAAAGGCCAATTCCAATGCAGCCTAGTTAATACAAAATTAACCCTTCCTCTGTAAGTTATGTTTACAGGAAATTAATGAACGTCAGGTGTAAGTTCGATCATATTTCCGTCATCCATCACAACACGGGTTTATTGCAAACCGACAAAGTACCCAGTGGGCTTGTTAGCTCAGTTGGTATATCGCAGAAGTTATGGGTTCAAATCTCATACAAGCCTGAATTTATTTTATTATCGCCATCTCTAAAGTAGTGTTAACGGCGAAGATCACTCTCATCTTCATTTATTAATCTGCAGTTCAAATATATGATATTCTTATCTTATTCTAGGATTTGTTGATTACTGTGACCTCGGGATCATTTATTACCTCAGTGGGATGTCAGTCAGTGATAAAATTTTTCGTTGATCCGACAAGGAAACTGTGATATCTCTATACGGCCACTAGGGCTGAACACGGGCAACAAAAATTCAACTGCATGATGTACTTGACAACATATGCAAGCTATTACCTCGATTGATGCCATGACTCAGGCTCTAGCTCCACAATGTTATGCATACAATATAAAAACCGTTATGACAATCTTGTTTAAAAATGTTTGGTATAGTCCTTTTAGAACTAAATTGGAACCCTTTCTTGCAAATTTTGAACCCTATGAAAAAGAGTTGCACCACCATCATTTTCAAAGAATGGTTTTATATTTATCACATAAACTGCGGTGTTATACAGGGATTTCTGGCCCCGAGAAAAGCCGTAACAACACACGTGAAAAAATATCGTACTTTTTTTTTTTTTAATTTAATTTTTTTTACGTGTGTTGGTATAGCCAATCAACTGCTGACACGTCACTCGCCTGAATAAATAAATAACAAATGAGAATTTGGAAAATTAAAAATTGCGACCATTGTTGTTTTCGTAATCATGATTCAAGGCATTTTTCCATCTTAAGAGTTAGCGCCTACGCACTTTACGATTGTTATTTGGGGATTGTCGATTCATTTATTTTCATTCATCAATGACGTTGGCTTTTCTTGTCAGTAAAAGGCTATTTTTTTTATATGATAAACAAAATAATACATGGTTGCTTGTGGATATGGAATTTCTCTTCTCGTGTTCAACTCGACATCTCACTCGTTCGCTGCGCTCACTCGTTAGTTATCGAGTTAAACACTCGAAGAGAAATTCCATATCTACACGCGCCTATGTATTATTCTCTATTTATTGTATTGTTCAATATTTTATTGCATATTTTATTATTGCAATAGTCAATTCAAATGATGATGCGCCAATTCACATTTTACTGAACTATCACTTCTTAGGCCCTCAAACATTACCTTTATTGTAAAAATAGAATAAAGTCATTAATAAAGTAAGACCGAGCTTCTCATCTGATAAGAGAGCCTGTAACCACCCACATTGTCTGTGACGGTAATTGTTTGAAAAGCATTAATTAATAGGACAAAGTCAGCGTAAATCCAGTATTGAGGACAATCCACACCAGGCAGACTTAAGCTTCTCTGTATTTGCGACCAAAATAGCTGTTTTAACAATTATGTTTTCAGGAGAGTGGGGTGGTGTGGGGTAGGAGTAATAATTCTAGGTTGCTCAAAAGTAAAGGTTTAATTCGTTTTGTTTTCTTTGTTTTTTTTACCTATGCAAAGCTGGTTTTCATTTGATCTCCCGTTACGCTGGAAGGAATGTAACGGCAGTAGTTGGCTCTTCCCTCGACTTTTCCTGGACCTTTAAAGGGGATAGCTTTATATCTATTGATTTTGGTTTCTTGATATCCCTTAATGCAGTAGTAGTGCAGGATAAAAACAAGCCACTTTTTGATGCAATTATTTGACTTTGTGTCATATTCATCCTAAGACCCGCCAAAAATACAGATTGCCACTGCTTCATCTCTAACGTGCTGGGTTTGTCAGACAGCGACATTAAATGAAAGATGGTGTTCCTAAACTGACACTCACCTGATACTTACCTGATGGAAATGAAATATTCAGTCACAAATTAAGAAATTACAGTTCAGGTGGCAGTGAACGATAGAAATTTCGGCAATTTCAAGTGGGTTGCTGAAAATGGTCCAACTCCTCCTGATGAGAAGATGGCGAAGATAACTCAGATAAGTTAAATAAAAGGGACGCTATGGTGAACTCGTGAATAAACTGTGATATATATGATAAGTTTGAGGCAAAGGCCTACATTGTCAAAACGGCTTGGACTAAAGAGTAGAACTCCGCCAAATCCTTCGTCCAAACATTGATAGAGCTCAAGATTCGTGTTTACAACCGTTCAGAATGGTACATTTTTTTCATATATATTTTTTTTAGGGTGAACCTTATTCTTTAACAAATCGTATATCTGCATCGCATTTCCTAAAACTGACTCTGATTCTGTCCCTTGGCCACAGAGAATTAGAATTTTTTTCTAGTTTAAAATTATCATCATGACACGGCTTGACTATGGCCTGTACCAACACAAATAGTTTCCAACTAGCAACGCCTTTGTCGATGTTAATCAAAGTGGAAGGTCGATGGGGAAAAATACAGCTCAGAGGTAGTTTGAGAATGAGCTTTTATCTTACCATTTTATACAATCCCGGAATTATAGCAAGCGCAATTTAACATCGACATGTCGTCTTAGGAGAGGGAAGGGAAGCAAGTTTTAAGCCCCGAACCGTCCCCAGTCATTTTCATAGCTGAGTTCCTCAGTATAGCCACCTTGCAAAATTTAAAAATACTGAAAACGTGGAATGAAAAAGAAGTGAGGCATAAATTTGCAACACCCTGTTAACCTTGCATTTATGATGGATGAGGTTTTAATTCTCAGCACCTCACCTCTTTGTGCGGCTCCGTATGAATTTGGTCTAGTTTCGGGGTAATTTCAGATAATTTTGGGGCAAAGGTCTACATCTTCAAAAGTGCTCGGAATACAGAGTAGAACTCCACCAGATTCTTCGTTCAAACATTGACAGGGCTCAGGTTTCGTTCTCGCAAAGATCCTGAAAATAAACTCGTTGTAATATTCTGCAATCTGTCACGTAGCCAAGTCAAAATAAACATTTTCCTTAAGATTTCAATGTTTTATTTATAATACGGGAAAGCCTCTATTGATTTAAACCCCAGACTAATTAAATTTTCTTAAAAAAAATCATCGAGAAGTTCCAATATTTAAGGGTTTACACACGAACGACAAGCCTTTACAAACACTCATTTATACCCTTTAACTATCATGATCCAAAAGTTTACGAAGGCAAGAAGTTCCTTTCTATAAGTAATATTCTCGTTCGAAAAAAAAAAATGATATACTTGTAACTACCGGTAGTTTCTAAGCTTTAACTCACTATCTTCTTAACTCAACGCCTCATTCACGCCTAAATTGCCGCCTAAAGCGAAAAGATTATTGCATATCAAATATCACATGGACAGCAATACGAATTTAGACAAAACTAGACAAACTTTACTATGACAAAGGCAGACCAGGGGATCATTCTTAGTCTGGTCTCTACCCTTCGACCTGTTCGGCATGGGTGACCCTACCAGGAGTGCAAGACTCCAGCCGACATAGCTCTAGGGGTCACCGAGACACGCAAACTGCCCCACCACGATAAGGTGGTGATCCCACTCGGAGCAGACCCGAAATGCTAAACATTTAAATAATGACCATAATATAATCTTAACGTTATCAAATCATTAAAGTAGTTACTTAGGTCGTGTTTCACTAAAAGGAAGCTAACATAACACAAGACGTCCGGTTTGACAAAACTTTTTCAACACCTTTGAGTGACTCTTAAAAAGGAATTCCTTTCCTTCTCACCTGATTGAGAAAAAGAATAAGGTTATAAAAACAAACTTACGTCGCCAGAATCCTTGAGGCGACACCTAAGTTACGTAAAAGATACCAAGTTAAGTAAATTTACTAAAGGCACAAGGTATTACAAGCTTCCATTTATTGGTGATTTTTCCAATATCACACGCAAGATATTAATTAAGTCGCCGCAAATTTTCTGCAAAATAATATATAGGAGGCTTCTTTCATCTTTACTTGAAAAATTGAGGCGGCAGAATCCAAAATCGTGAGAGATTTTGCAGAGCGTGAGCCATGAAAGGATTGGATGATGAAGAGGGCCTATAATTATCCGTGGCTTTGTCTGACACAAGTAACTCACGGATGCATGTATCAATGAGGCAAGAGGTTTCGCCCTTATCTTTCACCCCAAACATGTTTCTAACCTTAGGAGAGTAACTAGTAATTTGATATGTAGATCAGTTAGCGTTTGAGTAGTTCTCTTACCGTTACCCGTGCAACCTTAGAATAACGGCTAGAAAAGGGGAGTTTATATAGCTTGACAGTTAGGCTTGTACCAATCAAAGGCCATCGTTAACATATTGAGTGGTAGGAAAAAATGTTACGAATGCAAATGACCATGAAAATTCTTTAGCAGAACTCCAACGAGGCTTGTTCTACGCGATTAAACCTCTTAGAAAGATTGAAATGTAAATGATACGTAGGAATTTCTACAAAATCTGGTCAAAATGTCGCTTTTTTGCTCTTTAGTTACAGAAAGCATTTAAGTTTAATTTGCCGAGAGAGGATTGTAAAATATTAAAAAGGACGCGACATATGGCAGAAACATTTTTGGGAACCTGTGCCGAGGAGCGAAATGTGTCGTAATCGGTAAGGCCTCCAGCTGTGCTGACGTTTCTGCGGGCTTTCGTCGTTTGTTCGTCTGTCGGTCGATAGTCGACCGATAGATCAGCCGACAGTGGACCGATATATCGGCCGACAGTCGACCGATAAATGTGCACATATCAGCTGATGCATCGGCCGACAGTCGGTCGATATATCCGTCGACTATCGACCGACTATCGGTCGACTATCGGACCGATATATCGGCCGATGTATCGGCCGATATGTCGACCGGGGCCACCTTTAGTACACATGATCCGAAATCATTAGGGTTAATGTTTCTTTTTCTCTAGTTTGCTTTGCCCTCTTTTCCTTCTGTCTTTCCCGATGAATTTTTGGATTTTGCTTATTTCATTATAAATTCGCTATCCCCGTTTCGAAATGATCTCTCCCGCAAGTTTCATAGGATTTCTTTTTTTTCTTAATAAATACGGCTTAATTTTGTGAAAAAGGTTGTGGTTATTCATCGTTGTGAATAACGATAAAAGCTAAGTTTTTTTCGTTTGTCTCACGATGTCTTCACGTGTGATGTACTAAATACGGCTTGTTTCATGAGGACTCTTGTTTCTTCTAGGATCTCATAATATGTGGGCTCTGAAATGTGGAAAATAGACCCCTGATGGACCCTGTAAATACTGGTTGTGATATCAAATAAAATATGGAATATGAGACTCTATCCATCTGTGCACAACATAAAAGGAGTCTAAGTTTTCAGACTAAAGTTATGCCATCATTACGCACGCAAAATCCAATACGCACAAACATAAGGAAAATCAAGGAAAGAACACCATGAATAAAACCCTTCCACATTACGGAAAAGAGAAGGACAACAGTAGAATTTACTTAAAAGTAAAAGAAAATAGACTCACCGACTATTGAAGGTTGTAAATCACAAACGATAACAAGAGAATAATCAAGGAAACTGTAGAAGTTGTTGCATCTGCGCGGATTTCTGCAAGAAAAGAAATTTGGTACATAATACATTCCCTTTCTCCGAAAAACAAAACAGAAAAAGCATTTTTTTAGAAATAAAATTTGCCTCTTTTGTCTGTTGCGCGAATGAAACCAGATTTTCCCTTACAGACTGTAGAAAAACTGAGGCAGGCCGCATTTTCGCTGAAGTGTGTGTTTGTTCGTTCTTTTACTTCTTCCATTCCCAATTTATGTTACAAACTATTTAAGCTGATTACGGCAAGCACTGGCCATTAGAAGCAAGAGCTCGTGTGGCTTATTTTTGATGAGGTAAATTCTTTCCCTGATACAACACAGAAAATCAGAACCAAAGTGAAAAGGCTGATCCAAACAGATCCCGACTAAATCAGCTAACACTTCTTCTTCTGCCAATTTGACAATTAGCATTTAGTAGCAAAAGTCGGATTAAAAAATGTTTGGCTCTCGATCACGACGCTCGGACAGTACGACCTCGGAATAACTATGTTCTCCGCCGCACCTCCCACTCAGTCAATGAGTACAAAGAATTTATCCAAGCTTGAGGGAGGAGATCTGCATTCAACGCAATTAAAAAAAAATCATTTGTTCCTCCAAAAGTTGATAAGTTGCGCGTCACTGCGCTTTCGGAAACGAGCAAGTACTCAATCAAAACGAGTTAAATTAAAAACCGGAAGCACAGTCTTCCGACAAAAACAAACACACGTAGAGCCGATGAGTGAAACGGTGAGGCAGTTTATTTTTTTAAGCCAGAAAAGAAAATAGCTTCGACAAAACCTCCTTCGCAGTCACAAATGTGAGCTGATATTTGCTGCACTCTTAATTTTTTGAGCGAAAATCCTTGAGTACAGCTGCCGTTTATCTATTTGACAATTTTTTTTCCATTTGATCGTAAACGATACTTTGGAGCAACAAACAACTGCACTCGAAGCCGCCATATTTTTTTTGATGCAAACCTGCATACTCTGGTGAAACCGTGTGGCTGTTTTTTTTTCTTTTTTTATAAATGAAAAAATGGTTTCACCAAAATGTTCTCTGCTGACGCAAATACGATTTTATATTTGCCGCACTCTACATCCTCCATATGACAATCCGTGAGCGTAAGCTACCCTTAATCCGATCGAAGATGCTTATTCCAGTTGACCATTAACAGTACGTTAAATAGGACAGACGACAATTACGCTCGAAGGTTTCCCGTCATAATTTCTTTCACAAGAACCAACTCCGGAAATATCAGGCGTTCCAAAAGCCAGTCGGCAAGACGGCCAGTGAATCATTTCCAGAAACCAGTGCAGAAATTGCTTCTTTTTGTTCCGATTTTAATGCATGAGAACTATTAAATTCCGAGAGACACTTAGGTGCTTCCTTGAGAGCGGAGTCGAAACTAATAACTTCACAATCAGATGACTTTGGGCAGGCGTAATCTTCACTCCCCCACCCACCGCCCCCTTGGTACAAATTTCTTTCTCTTCCCAGCCTTCCGCTGCCATTAAAATCAAAGATGACCGCCATAATTTTCGTTTAGAAAGTACTGAGTACTCGCTCGCCAAAACTACTATTTCTGCTTCAATCTCCGCTGTTGAAAGGTTCATTTTGTTATTCTTATCAGTAATCTGCTCCTTTCGTTATTGCCTCCATGACTTGCAAACAAATATATATACACGTAACACGAATCACCTTCAGGAAGATTAACGATTAACGCCCGCCCAATAAAGCTGAGACAGAAAAATTTTTGTAGACCTCTAACACAAAGTGCAGTTGACGTTTGTAAACTCTCAGACATGCGAGGCAGTGAAGGATCGAGGTCAAATGTAAACATAAATTTTTACCTCGGTAAAACAAAGATAATATCTTCCTTTTTGATGACAAACTGGTGTAGGTTTCATACATACCCACATTAGTGTAACGAATTCCATCCCCAATAATCTTTGCGTTGCCATAAGCCCACACTTCGATAACTACTTCAAGTTGTCTCTTTTTGCTCTTTTCGGTAGCACTCTTAAAGGGTAAACTGCTGTAAGGAATCTCCACAGAAGTAATGGTACCACACCCAAGAAGAGAATTCTCCTTCAAGAATTTATTCTCGAGTAATCTGACGAGATAGTTACTTGCTCCTTGTACTTTTTCCCACGCAAAGTTGACACCATCTGTCAGAATAATCTTGGTGTCGTTTGTGTTAGATTCTGACACTAATAAGAAAGAAAAACATTATGAAACGCATTTTGACGTCATGGCAAACTGAAATGCAGAATGATGTAAGGGTAGGAGGGGTGTAGAAAATCGTGATCAACATCAGTCTGAAGCTCATATATTCTGTTGAAATACATAGACTGACAAATAATCAAAACGAGTACGACGATTAAAGGAATGTAGTGAAAGCTGCGCTGGGAAAATGGAATACAGGTAACTAATACAATGATATAGTAAGCACAAGCATAACTCAATATAGATATTGCGGAAGACCATCATAGGAACGTAAAGAAGTAGTACAACATATAAGTTAAATAAAAACGAGCTTATGGTAAATAATATAGTGAATACGCCAATTATACCTCAGTAAGTATATGAGATAAATAAGAGGCGAAAGGAAAAACGGACGAAAGATTACTAAAGAGTGAGAGAACCTTTGGAAGTTCAACATAGTAACACTCATCCCCTCATTTCCATGAATAGAAAAAGTTATTTCAATTCCGTTGAAGGGCATTTTCCTTAACACACGGAGGTATCTTGGAATTCCTTTGCGGATCTTTACACCTACTCTAGCGAAGAAATGAATCTGTAGATTGCTTGTAGTTTTTTCGGTACGGGAATTACCAAAAAACATTGCAACTCATTCATGGTGTAAAATCATGTTTTCGGAAGTAAGAAAAATTTAATTTTTTTAGCTCCGCCTGGTCATCAAAAATATTGACCGAATTTCCAAAGAAGACCTCGTAAAACCTAATTTAAGTCTATGATGTTTGGTCTGTACTACCAGGCGATTTCAAATATTACTCCAGTCTTTCAGTAAGGGAATTTTCAGAACTTGTACATATTGAAAAAAATCGGAAGGTTCTTGGCAGAATGCCAGGCGGTGTCTCCCAAGTGCTTTGTGATCAGAGACAATCGCCTCATACGAAAATAACGAGTACATTTAATGTTAGTGATTCTGAAAATCAGTTTGGTTTTGAAGTGGATGACTTATCCTGGTGAAAAAGTTCTTTGTTTAAACTTTTTTAAGCGTCGAGAATATAGCGATTTTATAGCAAGGCAGGCCAAGAGGAGATATTTCTTTAACTAGAAAGCCACATAATTTCTGGAATCACTAGACACTGCGAAATAAATCCATCTACCAGGATACTTACTCGATAAACTGTGATATATCTCTCAAATACGGGCGATGGCTTACTATTCCACAGACAGTTTCAGATACATTGTACGTTAACTATATTGTTCACTAGTGGCTAAAAACACGGCAAATTCGATTCTTTATACTGTTAATCTTTACGCTCGTACGCTGAAAGGGATGAGTTCCAGATCTAAATAAAAGCAAGTCGATGGCTCTCACCCAAGGCGACTCCTGAGTGGCTGTTTCTTTGTGCGAAACAACGAATGAAGAATACATGAAATTGAGAAATGCGTCTTGAATAAGAGCGCTGGCAACGCAGATGCTTCAGCAACACCACCAATATCTATAGAATATCTAGAAACTTCTAGAATGCTTAGTCATGCTAACTTGCATACCATGGAACTTTCTAGAACGTTGTAGTAAGTCACGTATTTATGATGTACTACTACCAAAATAGCTGTGTTGTAAGCTTCCGGAATGTTCTCGAATACTTTGTAAATGTGTAAAGGACTCAATCGTGCAGTACTAGTTAGTTGCTGTTGTCGGGAGTAACCGACTGTTTAAAAAGCCATACCGAGAGAAAGCTACTATGGAATTTGATCCTTTCAATGAACTTTGAAGAAAACTGCGAGTTTGCGTCCGTGGTGAGCTAAGACATAGACCGTAGTGGGCTTAAGTATGCTTACTGAGGATAATTACTGTATGGTCTATTGGAATCGCTCCTAAATAAGAAAACTACACGTCGTTTAATAAAGTAGTCAAGTTTACAGAAGAATAGTTTTCTCTCTGTCGGTAAGATTATGCCGTAACAAGGCACTTTGAAAAGAGCCATAATAGTCATCTGGGGAGAAATGGAAAATAATGGGTGTAAAAAATGTTCAGGGAATTAAGGAGTATTATGATAATTTGAAAGTGCCTTATGTTCTTTATAGTTTTGGTAACAATGGATGTTTTCAGGTAGAGTGGAAACAAATGATCGGGATGTCCATACTGTTGAGTAAGGTAGACAGATGTGTTTTGTTCTCTTCCCACAGATTATTGGTGTGGAAAATGGTGGTCGAGAGACGTAAGCAGAAAGAGGATGTTTAGGTGTTCCTAAAATTAAATAAACACAAAACCTGCTGTTACTAAGAGAATCAACGCGTTGGTGGCGCTGAAAACTCATGCATTATTGTCCCTCAGGTCCTCTCTTCTGTCTCTTAAAGTTGTCAGCTCATCTTTTGTTGTCATATCTGTTAGTCTAAATGGCTCCCGCAGAATCAGTAGAAGTTCAACTGACGGAGAACTTCTTAAAATGACCCATTACTTAACATTTATGTAACACGTGAGAAGTATGTTAGAACCATTCCTGATATAATGCTTTTAAACTTCATTGATTTTGCTTCAAAGTACAAGATGGTGAACAAAAAGCTCATATCAACTAGACAATATTATTCCTAGAGTTTTCCCAGTAATACTCGATTGCCATACTACTAAAAGATCCAATGCGGTCTCGAATCAAACGAAGTGAGTCGTTGTATTCGGTGGCCATAGTGCCAAGTGATCCTTTGTGGTCTCAAATAAAACGTGTCAAACAAGCACGTAAATGAACTAAGTCATGGCACTCGGTGGCCACCTGCATTTGATCACACGTTGTTGCTATATGCCGGCTGCAATTGAAATCCATAACTCCAATGGTAAACACCATTCTTATAGTTACAGAGAGTGTGGAACATACCTTTAAGGCCTTGCTAATAATACTCCGGAAGACTCTGGAAACCACGAGTGGTCATTAAATATCCGCTTTACCGACTAAAATCCATAGACTATTATGAAACCACGACGTAGTCTCTAGATATCGGCTATTCGATACTCAGACTAATGCGAAAACCACGAGGTGCACGATTGCTGTTGCGCATATGACGTATGACGTCATCCAAAATGGCGCAGAGACTGCAGACGGTCGACGGAAAAACCTCAAAAAAGGTCACTCGTGAAACCACAGGACACCCAAGATTATGAACAGAGACCTCCTTCGTCGAACATAAAAAAATCTCAGGCATGCTTTTTCGTTTGCCAAAATATTGAAAAAAGACTGAAATAAAAAAAAAGCAGCCAATTCGTATATCTGCTCTAAACCACAGGATCACTGATAAAGAGAAGAACCAACCGTAAAGGATACTCAAAAACTTATTCTGAGATCTGTTCAAATAGGAACTCATTTCTTAGCCCGAGACAAAACTGAAATTGAGCCACGAGGAATTGAATGATGTTAAAAAAAAGTTGTGCAATGATCAGCAAGTAAATGAATGGGAAAAGGCTGTAAAGAAATTGTACTAAGATACATGGACTATTGAAAGGTGTCCGTGCCTTGACAGAAAAATTGCTATCAAAGTGGAACCTACAATATTTGCATATGCGTCAACTTGGAAAGCGACCATAATACGTTTCGTGTTTCTCCCTACACTTCTTTCGTGCTCTAGCCGCTTCCTGCGTGCTTTACAATAGAACAGAGCACAGTTAAGGCTTCTCCACTTGTTAAACATCATACCTACCGTATCTATCAAAACATGGGAAAATAATGACGCTACCCTAGTCGGGTAACGTCATCGCATGGCATGGTTAGGTCGTTTTCTCCATCTATCTTTTTTTTATTTGCATATTTCTGTAATACCGACATTTATTTTGCCCGGACAGTTTTTTTAAAATGTCCATCAGTTTCGCCGTTGGTCAGCCAGAGACGAGACAAGCTTTAGTTGTAAGAAGCCTTAATCAGTGAAATACCAGTTGTACTTAAATCTCCAGATGTTTTTTTTCTAGAGTTCATATCTCCATGGAGAGGAGGTGATGCACATTTCACCTAAATCCTAAGTTTGTACTTACTTTTCTTATGAATGGTGATGTTAGCTGTAAGCTCATTCTTTTCCAGACTCTTTGCAGTGCACTTGTAGCATCCAAAGTCATTCTCAGTGTTGACTCTGACATGCAAAAGAGTGCTTCCTGTCTCAAGCTGAGTTCCATTGGGCAGTTCCCAGATAACTTGAGGAGGTGGAAACCCCTTGACAGGACAGCACATTAGGACAGACTCGCCTTTGGTTGCAACAAAACTTGTGGGACACAAACCATGATCCTCATACAAAGCTGGATCTTGAAACAGAGTAAAGAAACCTCCTTCAAAACGTTTTTTCGCACATCATTCCTCACATTTTGCCCCAAGGTACCCCTTGATGTAATTCAATTTGCTTTCAAATACACTAAAAATTTCAGTACTTCTTAAAATAAAATAGCAATCCATGTTCAGATGCACATTCATGTGCAGAGATGGACACGAACGCACCTACGAGCAGGAGTACATTTTGAAGTCATGGCGGGCTTGAACTACAGTTTTAGAGGAAATCTGCATGCGCGTGTGTTTTTAACATTAAAATCGGGATTATAATTACTTCGAATAACTTTACTACGTGCCATACATGTACAGGCAGGTGTTGTAAAAAGTTTGGTTAGCTTTTCCATTAATACACATTTCTTTTTCTAAGAACCTTTTTTATTAGGCCTAAGCTGAATTCTAATTTTTCAAACAATTTTTTTTATTCTTTTGAATATTCTTGGATCTCCAAGTATTAGTTAATATTCATTTAACTAAAATAATTACATGAAATCTTGCAGATATATGGCACGGCAATTTTCCTATGACCCTACTAACAGTTTATTAAGTGTAGTGATTGGTATTGGCTATAAAAGTATAGTAAAATTAAAGTTTTGTGCACAGCCTATGCATCAAATTTATGTCATAAAATATTATATCCTTCTTAAAACTAGATCATCAGAATAAAAATGAGTTACCAGGCACATGCTTGGCTTTCCACAATAATAGCTTGCAGGTTTAAAAAATTCACTTTACCTGCTAAAATCCTCAGTTCCTTTGCCCTGGCGAAGGGCTGGAAAACAATCTAAGAGCTCTGCATTTAGACTTGGCTAAATCTATATATTTTACCTACTCCTCTCAAGTTGGCAGGTTTAAGGTTCGAGCCCTGGCCATGACAACTTTTTTTGGTCTTTTTCATTTCTTTTTTCTTTTTTTCCTTTCAATTTACATTCCTCTTCAAAGGATATGTTAGATATGTTCAGAGTTAAATGCACATGAAAGAACGTTGGACGACTTACCTTTTACATTTAAATAAATAACAAGATCGAAATGCAGAGACATTAGCCCAACAAAACCAAAAGCTCTCCATTTGATTAAAAGGAGGGTTTAAAGTTCTAAAGTCATCAACTAATACTCTTGTGATCAAGAGGGCGAAACTGCAATTTCCCAGTACTGGCTTCTAGACTAAGGTTGCATTAACAAGGCTACTTTAACTTACAAGGGGTTTCCACATGTTAAGATATAACTTACATACAACTCCAAGGAAGGCTCTTGCAGTATCAGACACGTAGTTCGAAGCTTTGCAGATATAGTAACCTGAGTCTGCAGTTGAAGCATTCTGCACGATCAACTGGGACGAACCAAGATGCGAGTTTATTTTGAAATTGGCACTGTTGGCAGAAATCTCACTTTCAACCGAACCATTCTGCTTCATCCATTTAATGGTTGGCCAAGGAAAACCTTTAGCGTGACAGGTAAAATTTGCTGGAACACCTCTTAAAGTGGACAGTGCAGGAGGGACCATCTCAACAACAGGAGGACCTAAAAGTAAAACAAAATGGTTACAATAAAGGAACTCATCCCACATGCTTTTGATCCACATGTCATAACAGTGAAAGTGAAGTATGTTTGAAACATACAGTAGTTGTGATAACGTGTTACAGGTGTGCAAAAAAAATGTACCAAAATACTTAGAGGTAAAATGTTTAAGATTTTGCTCCTGAAACACACACAACTCACCCTCCCATTTACCAACTAGGAATGCCATGCCAGTATGGTTACCCATGGGAGGTGACTAGTAATTTAGCTGAATTCCTCATTTTTTCAAAAAGGTCATAGTTTCCTAGGAAGAGTTTAATAACATGTTAAAACGCTTGAATTATTTACACAAACATATTTTCAAATTGAATTCTTCAGGCTGCCAAAGTGTGAATAGCCAAAGATAGCAATACTGTCCACCGTGACTTCCATTTCAATCATTCTTTGCTCACTCAAAAGATGAGGGATTTCAAGCTCTTCTTCTGGAATGTCTCAATTAAATTCAAAGTTATATCCTTCTCAATAAAATGTGCGAGGTGTATTGAGCATGAAGAGGAAGGTTAGCGAGAAATTCATTGTGGAAACTACACACAGAACACAACAGTACACAACGAACCACCACCATCTTGGGCAATGTGAGTTATGTTATAATGAGAAGCCTGATAATTTTCGCAATTTGTTTCGAGTTTTTGTTTGTAGTGGGAAACACATAGACACCATGGAGAACTGAAAGAAATCTGGATAAAGATGTCATTAAAACACAAAATGACGCATAACTCAAAAGGTTTTCAACTGGTTTACATTACATTTCATTCGATAGAATGACAAGCTGGCAGAAAATTGTTAGGAATGCATAACCAAGTCAAGAAATAATGGGAATAACTGCTCTTGACTATATTTGACCATTATAGTTTGAGAAAAGGACCTTCTGAGGTAATCCAAATCAACTGAACGCGAGGGTAAAATATCACCATGAAACCCTAGACTTTGAACCACGTGCTTTGACTTTTGTTTTGGTGTGCCAAAAATATGTGCTAAGACTGCTGGGCATGGGAACAGTGGTACCTAGGACAGCAAAGAAACTCTGTGAGTGAACCTTCTCTTTTTTAACCTTTACCATGAATTTCTTTAAAACAAGTATTTCAGTAAGCCACAGTTTTCAAATTTGGAGTCAATTTGGCTACATGAAAGGCTGTAAAAGTTGCCTTAAACTCTTAATGCTGTTGTTGTCGCTAACAGCTGAATTAATACACCAGTCTGACAGCACAGCACTTCTAAGCTAGCATTGAGTGCTTTTTGAGTCCCACTTGGGAAGATTCAGGGATTTTAAACCCTGTGAAAAGATCAAATACAAAGCCCAGTTTGGGAAATGTACTTTACAGAACTACAAATTCAAAAGTTACTTGCATAAAAAAGAAAGTTCTGTGATTGAAAACTAAGTTTTACCATAGTTAAGCAGTGAAAGTCCTATTGAAAGTTGTAAAAAGGTTAATGTTGATTTCTTGAGATCGACTCACAAGAGCTTTCTGTCTTCACATGCAACTAGAACTTCTGAACATTTTCCAAAAGCAAGAGAAACCAAACAACATAGAGACCAACAGCCCTCCAGAATATCAATGAAGGTATTAAGGTCCTTAAATTAAGGTAAAGAAAACCTAAAAGAAAGCTGAAGATGTATATTTGGAGACATATTCCAAAATCTTACCATAAGTGTTTTTATTTAAGATGCAGAAACAGATCTGAAAGCTTTTTCACCAAGTTTGTTGATCTAAATGGACTGACCACAAACAAGCCTTTAAAGAAAAGCCAACTTAAAACAGCCATAGAGGTTCCAATTTGATACTAAGAGAACAATAGAGATGGTAAACCCATGCTGTAAAGTTACTCATATGTTTAGCATTGTAAACAATTACTGGTAACACAACACCAAGTCTATTATCTATATTGCTACTTTACATAGATCCTGACCTACAAACTTATTTTTCAATCATAAAGCTGTATCTGTATTTCTCATTAAATCACATGTTGTAGTGTTTCTATGTATTTATCTAGTGTTGAATAGCAACCCTATGAGATATTTTCTGTTTGACTTAAAGGCAAAAGAATAAGTATTCTTTACAGACAAATTTACATTACAACTTTCCCTTTTGCCATGTAAAGATATATAAGCTCCAATATTTTCTCATTTCTTCAAAACTCAAGGATTATAAAAAAACTTAGGCTACATGTCTTTACATTGTCTCAACAGGTGCAATATGGACAAAATAGCTTCACACTGAAGAAACACAGTCACCTGGATGCCAATAGTAGAGCAGGCAGCCCTGCCAAGGTATGCAATTTCAAAATTCAATACCATCATGGGTCAAAGACAGTTACTTTAGACAACTTGAAATTCTTGATACTGAGGGACCTTTTACTGTGAAACCAATAACAGAAACCAACAACAGTGCCTCACTATTTCCAGTACACCATGGAAAGGAAAGTTCAGTCATATAAGTGGCACTAAAAAGGTTAACACAGCCAATAGAATGAGGGAAAAAGCTGACTGCTACATAGGTGACTCTACAAGAACAATTAAAGTGATACTTTGGGAGAATTTCACTATTGGTGATCAGGAAGGCAAAAAATTCACATCCTCCAATGCAGGGTTTGAGCCAGGCCATGCCATTGTGCCAATCCTGCACTGCAATTGAAATTGTCCCTTTAAAAAAAACGGCCAAGGGGACAATTTTTCCTCTTAAAAATTTAAGGAAAAAACTCGAAAGGAAGCACACATGAAGACTTTTATTTCAATACAGAAATTGCAAGCTAAAACAGAACATGGATGTATAGTTTATCACACGTTTAAAGTTCGTACTAAAGTCACATTTCAGCACATGTACATCTCGTGCTCAACCAAACGTGGAGAATGCACCTGGCAATCTTTACTGCACTTTTCACAAACATGCAAATTCTAAAGTTCAAAAGGTGCCTTCACAATTGCGTTTTTTGCTGCTGTCAATCATGATTACGATAACAAGCAACGAACCTTGAAACACAGAAACACACAAAACATGAATTAAAATAAAAATAAAAATGTCCCCCAAAATTTTTGCCAAGGGGACAAATTGTCCCCCCAGTGATCAAGTCCTAGCTCAAACCCTGCCAATGTCAGAGTTCTAGGAGAGTTAAGGTCACAGTTGATGAGTACAAGTTGATGTTAGGCACATCCCTCTACAACTGTACCACGTCAGAAATACTAGAATTTGCCCAACCCGTAGCTGAACCACTTGAGCTGCCAGATTGTTTTGCAACCACAGAGGCAAAGGTACACTATAGACATTATAGATGTCACTCAGTTACAAAAATGCTTTTACTGTTTACAGTGCGACAAGAAAAATAGCCAATGGATCTGGTACCTCTGACATCTTTAAGTGTCATTACAACAGCCTTACCCAGAAAAAGAACAAATGCAAAGAAAAGTGTCATGTTGAAGCCAAAGTGTCACAAGATAATAGCAGAGACTGGGTCTGGCAGGCCCTTCCCAAAAATCACTGTGATCATCAAAGCATTTCCTTTGACACACCATTTTGTCACGGTCAAAGGCATGTTTACTAAAAAGAGTTTATTCAATATATTCTATATTTAAAAGAGGAAACCTGAAAGTTTTACAGATCTGGGGGAAGATACCCAAGTGAAGAAATGCTAATTTTGTCCTAAATGGCTGGAGGAGTTTCAATGGTTAAAATATGATTTAACCAAAAAACAAATGAAGAGCAGAGTTTGTCTTGATGCATATGGCTGTCAACCTAAACCATTGCAAAGTTTTGTGCATGCAGCAAATAATTTCCAGCACTCACGTTTCACTCAACATCAGTCTGGCAAGGACCACATCATGCCCATAAATATCATCAATTGAAGAAAGTCTCATGACATGGTTGTGCATCATGTTTAAGCGAAGGCAAGCATGCCATTGAAGGCTCAATTACAAACAGCTTCTGTCATGGGAAAAAAGGAAATTCCTGACAGGAAATTCAATGCGTTGATTGATCTGCAGGTTAGTTAAGTCCATCACTTTCATTTCAGAGACAGGTTGTCCATTCATAATTTTTTTTCTAGTTTATTTGTTTCTGTGTGGTGTTGATTCTTAATCCACAGATCGCCAATGGTTGCTTAGATCTGAAGAAAAGTGATGGGACTTAGAGACACAACTCTACTGCTGCTGAGTTACAAAACTGTATTTCTGAAGTGTGCAAGGAAGATGCCCTAAAGAGAATCAAAGACTGTCCTTTTGTTAGCCTGATGTTGGATGAAAGGCTTGAAATAGCAGTTCAGAAAAAGTTGGTTCTATTTTTCAACACTGGGCTTCCAAGGCTGCCCCATATCTGGTTCACTATGAAGAAATAGTTATTGGCATTTACAATTTCTTTCAATATTCAGCTGTTAGGTACAACAAGCTCAAGGAATTAAAGAACCTGATGAATCAAAAGGCGAAGCATTTCAAGAAACCTACCCAGGTATGGTGGCTGTCCACTTATTATTCCATTTATTACGCATGGACACTGCTAATAGCGGAGCTCGCAGAGCATAGCCCCATATTAAAAAAAATAGTTGTAACCCATCAAGCCGAAAAAATTTGGATGTATGAACGTACAAGGTGCTACTTTTAACATACGTGGTCAACTGTAACGCGGGCACGCCAACACCACAGCTTTGTTCAGTAGTCCTGTGGTCAGTGCGCTGGGGGCCCGAGTCAGACAACCCAGGCGCTAGTCCTAGCCGAGGCAAGGTGTTGTGCCCTTGAGACGTGTGGGGAAAAAAAAATGCGAGCTCCACTTTTAGGCTTGGCTAAATCTATATATTATTGTCTTTGGGGCGTGAAGCAGCACCTAGCAACAATAGTGGAGCAGCCAAAGCAAAGGGCAGGGTTTGAGCTAGGATTTGATCACTGAGGGACAATTTGTCCCCTTAGCCAAAATTTTGGGGACATTTTTATTTTAGGGAGACAGAAAAATTAATTTTTATTCAAAATTTTTTTTGTTTGAACATGCTGAACATCAACACTTCATTAACAGTTGATTATGATACATTTGAAATCATGGATGTTCGTCTTCGGAGCCTATATAGTGTCAGGATCTTAGTCATCTATCGTCCACCTGATAATTCCTCTTTCAATCAATTTTTTGAGGAATTCTCACATCTACTTGAATCTGTAACTGTGGAGTCTTCTGATCGAGTCCTAATTACTGG